TTCTTTTATACCGGTCGTGAAACAGCAGGATTTCGCAAAGAAAATTAGACTTCGGATTGCACGAAGTATTCAGGGGGTTTAAGTGGTTACGTACACATTTAAAACAGGTGAGCTTGACTTCGCTACCAAAGGAACAGCATTTTACAAAAAGGGACCCTCGTTGGGATAAAAATCTGGAAAAAAGTTCCAATGGGTTTGTTTTCCGCGCGATGTCAAAGCTTTAGAAAAAAAAAAAAAAAAGAACAAGGAAAAAGTGATCGAAAAACGTAGGGAAAGTGATAAAAAAAAAGATGCCTTAGAAAGGTAATGAAAGAGATGGACGCGAGAAAAATCGTAAAAGTAGAACGTTCACCTGAAAAGGTTATTTGAAAATGGTGATTTTGTCGTGAGGGGAAGTTTAAATTACCCTTCGATTATAAAATGGCAGAGGGTAAAGTGATGAATAAAGGTGGACGAAAAATTTGAAATTACTAATCTACATGAAAACACGTCATGTGTGTTTAAACATATTTTTTTAAAATAGGTACTGAAAGAACCTTTTTACTAAACTAAATATTTTTGGATTTTAACGAAATGAAAATTAAAAATAACATTCAAGAGAGCGTTTCCTAAATTACAATTTCATGTTGAGAATTAAGTATCAAAAGTGTATTATGAATATAAATAACAAGGATAAAAATATGTTAGGTATAGAAAAACCTTTCTGTAATGCAGTAACTACTACAATACGGTATCTCATTTATATACAAAAATTTCTATAAACACAAATAAAACAATTTTTGCGAAATTCTCGAAAATCATCCAAAAACCATGAAAACGTTCTATCGTGTCAACGTCAAATGGTCACGTGTATCCTTCTCGCTTTCAACTACTATTCTTCCATCCCAATACCAGCTCCAAGATCCTCTGAAACATCCTAAAATATTCACAAAGTACGTGAAACTCTCTACCAAGTCTAAACTAGCGACCAAATTTCATCTTCAACTTCCATCGAAAAATCCTAGAATATTCTCAAAGAACAAGTGAATACCAAAGTATCCATCGTTTCCTCTTTCAATCACCATTTCCCAAACGAAAAATCGTTTCTAAGATCTACAAAGAAAACCTTGAATATTCTGAAAGACAACGCATCGTCTAAATTTTGCCCATTCTTCCTACTGTCAACCAGCGACGATAATGTCGCAAGAGTCTTGGGAACCGCGCTGATTTGTGCCCATCGCAGTACCGTCTTCCAAATGGAATAATACAAGAAAAATGAAAAAAATATTCTAATACCGTGCAAAGCTAGAAAGATGATTAGCAGAAAGTCTGAGAGGCAAGAAAAGTGTTGCCTTCTGTCGCTCACTGGAATGTTAAAAACCCGAGGAACTTCCACGAAATACTAAGTAAGGCAACTGCCAAACGACTAGAATAGGAAAAAAGCGAAAGGTGACGAAAGACAAAAAGGGGAATTTCTTCCTTTCGATTCCTCCTACTTTTTGCTTTTCAATTTTATCGAAAGTGATGGTCGCAAAAGTTCGTGGCCGGAACACGTGGCTCGATTTAGAGACGGGTGCAAGGACGCGGCTCGTGGCGCGGTTGCCGGAAAGAAAAAGCGTATACCTTCGCGCAATTTAATCGGAGAGATCAGGTAGATCAGCTGGCGGAGGCAGGGAGTCTGGGGTGGATGTTAGGTTGGTCGGTCGCCGTGCGGATATCGACCCCGGGTTCACCGACCTTTCTCCGCCACCATCGACCCCTCCACCTGAACCTTCCGCCATCCCTCGTCGGCCAGCCCTCTCCTCCCTCCATCCGGCCCCCGCCAACCTAGCTAACCTTCTTCTTTCGCTCTCTGCTGCCACCCTGGCCCGCCAGCAGCTCTCAACCCTGCCAGATGTCCTCAACCCCGGCACCCTTCATTGATCCACCTTGCGACGCTTCTTCGAATTTATGTAAATGTATCGTGTGTAAGTACTTGGACACTTGCGAATTATTGAAAATGTATGAAATATTCTGCGGACCAAGCTCTTTGATCTAATTGTTGTCTCTGATCTTATCTCAGGCAACGGTATACAGTCGACGTGAATAAAGACAATAGTTGATATTATACGATAGTAGAAAATATTATGAATAAAACATGTAATTATCGAAGGTGGATGAACGTTTCTTGCGAGGAAAGGCTATTTCTTAAATATTTTGTCTATCGGAAAATTCATTATGCAATGTTTCATTTGGTTCTGCTTTCTTATTCGTGTCGACGCGTAAAGTGCCACATATGCAGATAAGACCATGTAGCAACGCGTACCGGTTTGTTCATTGGAGAATATTCTAGGATTTTTAGATGGAGATCGAAGATGATGCCCGGCGGGTAGAAACTAAAAGCAACGGGTCTGTTTCTATTTATCAGAGATACGATGCTCCTTCAAAGATGGAAAGTAATAAGTTTGAAGATAGTGAAACTCATGTTGAAACAAATGGTAGTTGGCTCGGTATCCTTATGGTATGTAACTCTATAAAGAAACATGGTATTGATTTAGTTTATTAACAGGAGTTTTCAAGTGAAACTCGATGAAGCAATATCAACGAAAGATATAAATGATTCGCATAACGTCAGCAGCTGATAATCCTATAGATCATAATTCTTATTTCATTCCAGCATTCCAGATGTATCTCCAACAAATTAGCCAATAATCTAAGTATTCGTAAGAACAAAATTAAGAGATTGAACAAGATCGGTTCGAAGAAACTTTCCAGTTAACTGAATTTCAACATCCGCCCGCCCCAATCGGCTAACAGATATTTTGAAACGCACGATTAAGTACCGTACGTTATATTATTCTCGTAAATTCAAGCCCATTGCCGATTACGAATCTTTACAAACCCGGTCAAAAGCCTCGAGCCCGTTATTAACGAAAGCATTCGGCAGAGAGAAAGGATTAATGGATTCGATCCGCGAATATGTTTCGCTATCTATCGAAAACACTGCTGTCGGTTTCCCAACAGCTGTAACGAAAAGCATTGCGGGCGAATTGCAGCCGAACACGCCGCAGTTCCGTCCATGGGAATTCGCCATTAGGCAAATGATCGTGCTACGAAATTTACAGATCGATTGAAAGATGCTGTACCACTGAAACGGAACTTTACAATTGCACCAGCCATTTGTACTCTGCTTCTTTGTTTAGGAAATCGCTGCACTCTGTCGGTGTTTTTCGATATCGAAGAAACGCGTGGAAGTAATTGGATGAAGAGAATCGAGAATTGATCTACGTTGCGTCTAATGTGCAGCGTTAAAAATTTAACTTTGTAATTTTCGAGTCAACTGATCTCCAATTCCAAGCTGTAATTCCAGCTTCGAATTTAAATTCTAAACCTGAAACGACACGATCAAATTTAAAAGAAACTGCCCCGAAGAAGCTCTTATTCTAATCTAATTACACGACTCAACAACGATCCTCGAAACTCCAATTGAAAAGTTCCCTTCGTTTCGAACAGCAAAGGACGACAATGCAACTAAAAGAAAGTCCTTTGCAAGAATCCACTCGAATTTCATTACACGAGCCTCGAAAACAATCCTCGTTCGTCAACGTTCTTCCCATCCACGCGAACAAACGAGCACGCTCGATATAATCAACGAGCGGAAAATCGTCGAAACCCTAAATGGGTCAGTTTACGACAACTTTTCACGGGGGATTGTTTCGTCGACTGTTTAAGGGCGCGAGTGGAACCAGTTTACACGCTAATGGCTCGAAATGCTCGCCCGTAAAACACGCAAAAGTGAAATTGTTACGGTGGGCGTGTCTTTCATTTGTCGGCTGGTTTGCATCCTTTAAGTTCTTTGCGCAATAAAAGTTTACGAGACGCTGCCGCGTTGTTCCCATATCCACTTGCCAAACCGCCATTATCGTCTACAACGTTCTCCGGCGATTCCAATGATCGTGTATTTAGCGTGATTCTCGTTTTCGACTTTAATTGCGTTTATATTTACTGCGGAGAATTAGGTTACCTAAAAAGTTGTCTGGCTGTTTTCAGCTCCTGGATATTTCATTCCCAATTGATTTTCAGGGGTAGTAGAGTATTGCGGGTGGTATAAGTATCGTCACAATTGTTATTTTAAATAATATGGACCGCCAAGGGTCTTATGGTTATAATTGAATTGGGAATGATTATGCAAATTTATATTCTTACGCATACAATTGAAGAAGTAGAACATGAGTTCTTTAGAGAATTGAAATGTTTTCTTTTACGTGTGTGCAGTATGTGCACTCTGCATATTATTGTACTTTTTTTGTACATTGAAATATTCCATAAATAATTCACAGCCCACCAATACTTACAAGAAAAATGAGATTGAGAGGTCTTAGAATGTCGTCAATGAGTTTCGGGATTTTACATGCACCCAGATAGAAGAAAACATCAATGGATGATGTTTCGTTTAGCTTTTCTACATCGTGTTTAGGGTACGAAAAATTTCTGTCGCTAAATGTCTCCTAATGTATTCTTATACTTTCCCAGTTTGTTCAGAACAGTAGGAAATTTATTATGTTAGTGAATACTATGTCGAGGAGTTTATAACTTTAGTTCTACCTTTCCTATAATTGTATAATAAAAAGCACGGTAAAATTATTTTATATATTATATTATATTATTATATTATATTAGAACTGTATAATTAATCACCTTTTAATAGCCGAATTTGTAAAATCAATAAATCCTCCCTTTAAAAAAAAATTATATATATATAAACACTCAGACTTTAAAAAAAGGAATGTTTCTTAAATAATACAGGGATATTTTATTTTATTTTAATTCACTAATAGAAAAGAATCTTGGAAAAAAGAAATCTTCAAATAAAACTAACAGTATTCTTACAATTCTCTTATCAGCTCTTTATAGAAGAATCTACACGACACAATAAATCTACTTTTTTAAGTCAGATATCAATCATTAAACTATAAGAAAGAGAATCGCAAAAGACACTTCGAACCTGATATCTACTAAAAGTTCTATCCTTTTTCTTTCAGAATATTAAACTTTACCAACATTTCCACGTACACGCGACATAGGAAACATTCAACATCGATTGGGAAACTAGTATGCCATTATAGGTAAGAAATGTGACGTATCTCGTCGTTGATCTTTTATCTCGGGATTATTAATTCGAACGATTTCGTATTAAATAACGGTTATACCAGTTGTCACAGGGTAGATAAAAATATTTATTTGACATGTGCACTTTAGGATGGAAAAACGAAGAAAGGAAGCAAGGAACGAGAACTACGAAGGAAAAGAAAGAACGAAGAATAAAAAATTGACGAGAGTTCTACGGACTGACGCCGGCAGGTAATTAAAATACAGCGTCGATATCGCGTCGGGTAATATTATCGAGCGCATGTAAATTGAAACACGATATCAGTTAGCGATACTGTCTGCAACGCATATGCATTCTCATTACGGCTATATTAAGCTTGATTCAATTATACGATACACCGATTGCGCAACTGAATAACGAGCGACGCTTGAAAATTAACGATAAGGCAGTTTTTATTTCGGACCGCGTCAAACAATCCTCGATATCGTCGAAAAGATGCGAAGATTTTGTTTTAAAAGATATATTGTAGATTTGCATATCTTTTATGTTTCCATTCTTGATTAAAAATCTAGCATAGTATCTCTTGCATAACGTATAGGACTTGTGAGAAAAACAACCTTTGTTCGTGTTTAGCCTTTTACCAGGGGATCAAAAGAATATTATAACATTCGTAATTCGATGTTCAATGTATTTCAATTCTTTGATGTAGAATATTCATTAGACTACATGATTGTATCTTAGAAAAGCGTATGTCCGTGTATTTATAATTATATCTTAGGAAAGCTGGAATTAATCTAATCGTGAAATCATAGACCTTATAAGAGAATTTTTTATAAAACTGATTAATTTCCATTAGATAATACGTCAAGATATAGATCATTTTTTTATGCTATCGATTACCCACATCAGGTGACGAATGTAACTTTTATTATTAGAAGTACGTATTCGTTTAAAATATTCGAATCATTTAAAAAACACGATGAATTTAACAAGAATCGTTTTAGTTCTGGGTCTCCCAAATAAAAGTATTATTAGTTTAGCCTACTTTTATTCGGAACTACATACGAATAATATTAAGCGTCGTTAAAAAAAAAAACCAGGCGTCGAATACCGTTTAAAATTGAGAATTGTGTCGTAACGTAGAATGGAAATTTCTATCAAATTTTTGTATTTATATGAACATTAATAATACAAAATTTAATATACTTGTATTTAATTAACTAGCATATACATAGTGTAAATGTCGTAATAAATAAATAAATACAATGTTTCGTAAATAGTTTTTGTACTCACCGTATTTGTATAATTAACAGACATATTTTATAATCAGCATAAAGATATAACAAAGATATATTACAAAATAGAAATTACCACGTAATACACCGGAGCTGCGATCGAAGTAAACAGAACGCCGCCCAATTCAAGACTGCGAGAATTCGGCACTTCCCCACCCTTATTTACCTTTCTCGCATAACCTGATGTTATTATGAATGTTCTTCATACGAAATCTATACCTGACTTCTGTTCGAAAATTATCCCCACAAATATCTACCATTTATTCACATCACTCGTATATTTTGTAAATATTAATTTTAATATTTTTAATAAATTCGTTATTTAAAATAACCTTCTGCTTTGTATAATTTTAATTCTTAACGATTATATTTCTTGCAAAGTTAATATGTTTCAATATCAAAAAATATCTTTATCTATAATAATATAATCTAATTATGTACTTTCGATGTACCATTGGTATACATATAGTATTATTTAATACAACGGATACTATATAAGTTAGTATTCTTTAATTTAAAAGATAATCTAAAATTCATTATAACTCTTTTGGACTGTAATTTATTAACTATATATATGATAATATTAGTGAATCGACAAGTAAGAAGTTATAGGTTATAGACATTTTTATTACGTATAATTTTATAACCTTACATAACATAGAATTCACTTATTTCATTATTATATTTCCGCCAATTAAAGAAAATCTATTAGTACAAATAATTTACAATAGCGACGTGTAAAATTTCACTAATACTATTTCAATTATACAAGAGAGTCTAAATAATAGATTCAAAGTATTTATTAATATATAAACTTCAAATTGAATTAATTACAGTTTAAATGCATATAACTAGACTGTGAATCCTCGTATATTCATTCGAAATATGAGTGTTGAAAGTCCACAGAATGCATATATGTACATATGATAGAATAATCGTTATAATCTTTAGCAGGAATAACGAATCGCCATCTAATTTCTATTTCTTCAATCGTATCGACGAAAATATAAATTGACATAGAAGTCTAATCTACACTAAAAAGAAGGAAAACGAATTTCAAATTTTCGCCTTACCTGCTCTATACAGAGTCAACGCGATGCAAGCACCAAACACCAGTAAACCCGATAAAACTCACTCTATCACGATTCATTCATGCGGCGCGAACCCGGTTCTCCTCACATTTTTCTGAATCGGTTTTCGATCTGTAAATGCGGCTAAGAAACGAATCGCTCGAGGAGGTAACACTAACCGATGCACCCTATATATTAGCATGTAAATATATGTAAATACAGGAGGTGCGCGCGTCTCAAAGGAGAACAGGGTTGCCAACTCTGCTCGCTCGCCGCTGCCATGTTACGTAATTGTTCGTTGCACCGCGCGGCCCCGTCGCTTTCAAACGCGAGAAACATCGAGACACTTTGTAGTTTCGCAAATTCGCAACTTAACCTCTAACGAACCGCGAATTTCAGGCGTAACCCCAAGAAAATCCTCGTTAGTTCTTGTCGTGGTACGAGACGAGACTATCTCGTGCTCTCGCGTTATCGCTAGATATCGCACAATCGATTCTCGAAGTTTACATAAGAGAACGTTCGTTTATACTCGAAGAATAGTAGCGACCGATCGAAAGGAATTATTCGACACAATCGAATTACGTATTGGAAATATGAAGATGTTGTGTTGTGTGAAAGCATGGCTGTATCAAGTCGCATTAACCTGTTAGCTGGCTGACACGAGTTAATTGTTACGATAGAAATGCCAAAACGTTGGTATTTTTGAAGCAGTAATTTTTTATTCACAGGCATTTATTATGTATGTATGTATATTCAGATTATATCTGTTGCATCATGTTCGTATTTGCTAGTAATATTTACTAATATAACCTCTTAAGAGATCTTAATAAATGCGTGTATAGATCATTTTTATTTGACGATCCTCGAAGATTCTAAAGTACAATAACTGCATAATGTGTATATTAAGTTCCTCTAAATATTTCAAGATATAATATTTAGAAATTGTGTTTTAAATATGTACGATGAAAAAAATAGAATAATTTTGTTCTTTTTAATAAGATCGTCCATAAATATGTTAACTAAAACTGATGATAGAACGTTAATGAAAACGATGATGTAAGTACAAGATGTAAATCGAGATATAATCATATTAAATTTATAGTTAGATAAATTATTATTATGACAATCAAAATACAACTAATTTACACGACGAATTAATTCTTTCTCGCTAACAGGTTAAACTTCTGAAAAATAATGTGGTCCAGGATAGGTTTATTCGCTCGTTTTTCAATAAGAATGTTTTAAGTCGCCGCAAATATGAGCGTTACAACCTTTTTGTACGGATGTAAAAAGATATTAATTGTAAGAAGCAGAAGATGAGTGAATGAGTAAATTTAGAACTATACAGAATATTATTAATCCAGATGATTCGTCAAGTTAAATCGTTTTTTATATATTATTCGCAGGTGTATGATACAAGATATATTACAAGTTTTTACGATTAGATCGATCATTAATGTAAATATTAAGCATCAATATTATAGTAATCGTAGCGATAGGTCACATACATTATTCATTGATATCGACCTATTTACGGTATCCTTCAACATCATAGAGAATCTTGTCTTATCTTTTTCTAATCAGATTTACGACTAAAAAGAACGTTACATTACAGGAGATATTTAACCACGCAATGTCATGAAGTATTTCATGCAAACACACTTCACCAACTCAGCACAGATCTTAAAGAGTGTAATATTATCACGATTTCATTTGCATCTTGGTAATTAACCTAAATAAGATACACAACAATGCGACGAGTATCGCACACATTTTTTCTCTCTCAATTAATCGCGGAACGTAAACACGTAGTACTATGTTTGTTCCACAAAAGCCAAGTTCGGAGCTACAATTTTACGAAAACGTCATGGAACACTCTTTTCCACTCGTTCGCTAGTTTCAGCGTTAACCTAGTTGAGAGTACTGTATAACAGTAACATATATCACACTCCTTTTGTGTCTCAGTAGCAATATAATAGAATAAATGCACGTGCATTTGGTATATAAAAAGTACAAGAAAGAATTGGTACTTTTATTTATAAGATCTACTAGGTAGATTTAGGCTTCAGTTTTAATTTAATTGAGAATATTGTATAACAGTAGTTCTACATATTGCATCCCTTTTATAACTCAATCAATAACACAACGAGGAATATCTATCCCTACATATATCTATTGTAAAAAGTGTGAGATAAAAATTGTAATATTTACTACAGTCCCATTTGTATCTCAGTGAAGAAATTGACTATGTTGGCTATAAGAGAACACATCGTATTTTTATTTAAACTTCTAGATTAATTCAGTTAAGAGTACTCTACGACAGTGCTTCTAAATATTACACCATTTTTTGTAGTTAAATAACCAAATAAAAAGTATTTCTGCAACTTACAACGCGAATTCAGAACACGATTTTCCACTTCGACTTCGGAATTAACCCAAATAGTTCACCCACAATACTACAATGTACCACGTTCTTCAGAAGAGTACAGCTCTGAGTTCCAAGCTGTGAGCTTCAATTTACGAAGACTATTCGTGGCACAATTGCACCAGATCTCAGCAGAATGTCTACCAATTCCCCTGACAAGCAAAGGTCCAAAAAGGTCCCCAGGTTTCGACTCTAATAACACGGTTGCAACCGTGCAACACTACCGGCAAATACGGTAATTTACCGAAAACAGGTTCACCGGATGATCACAACAATGTGGTTAGCCGAAGCAAAAAGCTGGCCGAAACGATGCTACGACCACGCTCAGTGGTCTTCGATGCCTATGCTCCTTGACGAGCAACAACCGGCGCACCCTAAGGAACTACCACTCCCACGGTCTCTGATTATCATTTAACCCGTTTCAATATGTCGGTATTTCTGCCTCTTAACGTGCCTCGATTCCTGGAAAGTTACACTCGGTGAACGTCAATCTTCATAGACGAGTTGATTCTTGGGATCGATGATCAACGTCGCGAACGACGAGAAGAATAAGACGATTGCTTGTAAGTGGAAATGATTCTATTGAGTCGCTATGGATGACAAATGTTTTGGAAGGAAAGCTTTTGGATAGATTTGTTGGAAAATAATCTTTCTTCTCGGAAGAAGGTTTCGGAAATAAGAGGATACAATGACGAAGTAAATTGTTCCATCTCATAAAAGGAACTAAACGTACGCCTTTAATTACGCAAGTCTGGAAATGCATCCGAAAATAGCTGGCGTTTAACATAGACTAACCAAGCCAAACCGCCAGAGATTCAAATACCGTATCATTAGAACGCAGAATAGCCCCTAAATCTCAACACACTAACATCCGGCTTTGCACCGTGCAAAATATCACGCGCGGCAGAAGAAACACCATTAACTTACTAACTAAAACTTTGCAAAAATTTCCCATCAACTATTAGTTGTTCGATAATCAAACACGGACAACCTGCCAATTAAATAATTACAAGAATGTTACCGATCAAGACTTCTGTACATTGATCAAGACTTCCATACGTCTGTTTAAGTCCATTCTGCTGTAAGTAAATTCCATCTTCTAAACGAAACAATGTCCCAATGACGTATAAATATCGCTATATTTCCATCTCTGCTACATTATCCCATTAATCTT